TGCCCCCCCCCCCCAAAGTTTTTATAATTATTTGCTCTTTAACTGGTCCAGATTTTTGTCCAAGTGTGATGCCCAAACCATGAAACAGTATTACATAGGATGTTTCATCAATGCTGAGGAGAGCTGAAGCACTGTTATGCACCATCCACTAAGTTCCTTCTTTTACCTATTTGTGCAGTAAATTTTTCCTACCAAAATGCTCTAGTTTGCACCTATTTCCTATTTATTACAGTACTTACTTCTAATTTTAAAGACAACTTTAAGGAAATAATGCTACCCTGTGAAGTTATTATACCTCTCCTATATTGGGATTAATTGCAAATTTAGTAAATGCATTCCATCCAGCTCCTTCATCAAACATTTGATCTATGCTAAAATCAGGTCAGCTACCATCACAACCCTAATGCGTTCTGCCAGTACTACATATCAAGAACTGTTCAGAAAAAGCCCTCAGTTTTAACTGCATATTATACAAGTTCATTACAGTTGCCAAAGCAATTAGAAACTGCAACTACTGTTGTACCACATAATTGTTAAAGCAAATGTCTGCTGATCTGAAGTTTGTGCATACCGTATGCAATACCTCATCTTTAAACAATGTTTGTTAGCATAGGCTGTTCAGTGAAACTCTCAGTACATTTGCTTCCCTAAACCTCATGCCTCTACAATTCCTTCTTCCATCCTTCTCCTATGCTCCACAACAACATAAATCCCCGTTATTACTTTCTCTACCACTCCCGCTTCTCCTCCCCAGCTCCCCCTGGGTGCTTTTCGCTAGCTCCCCTGGCAAACAGGGCTACGGCAGGCTCCCAGCTAGGCACACACCCACTTGCCAGACAGAGCTGCGGTAGCTACCTGGAAGGTCAAATTTAAAATAGGATTCATATGGAAGTATTTCTCTTGCTGGAGGCATTATTGATGGTCTCTCTTTTGCTCAAGTATTATGGTTTTTTCCCTGAAACTTTTTAGATTAATTTATGCTGAATTCTCAACTCCTTCTACCCAGCATATCTGAAGGTACTAAAGGTTTCAAAAGTCATCAGGAGAAGGATGGGTAAAAGACAAAACATGATCACATGAGCTCTTCTTTCTTTAGGATGGCAACCATAAAGAATGATCCTGCTGAGAAGTATCCAAGTAATCGACTTAATCCAATTTTAAACTAGTAATGAGAATTCAGTGAGGGGGTACTACCTATGTATTAAAACCAGAATCCACCTATCACTGTGACGCATTTTCTTACCACATGAAATATATTAGGAAAAAGTATTATTATCAAAGGTACAGTTGCCCATATAGTACTAGTTTGTTCCCCTCACACATAAACATTGGCATAGTTTAGCTGCCTGGCAACATACCATGGGTTTTTTTCTACCGGATTCCACCCTCAGAGTAAGGAGCATGCAGTAGAGAATTCAGGAGCAATGAGTTAAATCTTTGCTATATACTAATACATTGCTGTGGTCTCACATGATTGCATGGAACTTTAACTTCACTCTGAAGACCCACCTTTTATTTTTGTAATGGTATCATCTATAGAAATTACCATCACAGTTTCTGACCATTTAAAGATACTTCGGAAGTTTTTTTAAAACATATGAGAAAACTGAGGCACAAAAAAATAGGCTAGGCGAAAAGTCTCCAGTAAACAAAGCTGCCTTAGTCTACTTACTGAAGTACTAAAAAAAAAGTATCTGAATGACTGAAATATGATTTAACAGTTCTTACATACTTCCCCTTACCTTGAGTAAGTTTGTCCAGAACACGAAAACTCAGGGAAACTTGAGCAAAGCATACTGCTGCCTATCAAAGAACGCCTTCTAGTGGTTGTTTTCTTTTGCAGTATTATATTAAGTATTATATATTAAGTATTTTTATGTATTAAGTATTATATTATATATAA